AAGCGGGGAATCCGGGGATAAGGGGAAAGGGACGGGAGCGAGTGAGTTGAGTAGTGCGCCAGACGACAGTATTACCTACATAAACATACGCTAATGCGAGGAGACTAGGGCACTTCTGTGTTCGCACATAGTTCCGCTGCTCGCATCGTTTGGTTCGAGTTTTGAATCTGAAAAAAATAATCGAGAATTGGGAAAATCGGCAGGCCGAAGACTTACATCGTTCCTTGGGCTTGCCGCTCTTGTCGCAGGGGAACTCGGGCGAGTGGCTCATGGCGGCCTTGAAGCCGGTCTTGCCGCAGTTGACGAGCCCGCCCAGCCCGGAGATGTTGAAGCTCATGCCGAACTCGCGGTCGATGAGGTTCACGATGGGCCGGCACACCTCGTCGCGGCACGTGTTCACCAGCGCGATGCAGTTCTCGCGCCGGAACCCCAGGTTGAACAGCTCCGCCGCCACCGCCTTCATGAACGTCTCCTCCTGCATCGCGTTCGGGAACGTCGCCGCCATCGTCGCCAGCGCCGCCGGCGCGGCGCGCTTCGCGCGGGGAACGTACCCGCCGTCGAAGGTCACCGGGGGAGTGGCGGCGGCGGCGGAAGCGGCCGGGACAGAGTTTTTGGTGAGGAGCGCGAGGGCCGCGCCGCCTAGGACGCCGGCGCCGAGGATGGACGGGACGATCACGCCGGAGTTGGCGGCGGGAGCGGCGGGCGTGGCGACGGACTGGGCGACGCTGGCGAAGAGCGCTTGCTCGGCGGACGCCACCTCGCTGCTCTCGGCAGCGGCGCGCACGACGCCGACGGCATGGCGCGCGCACTTGCAGCCGCGCGCGCAGCCGGCCTTCTTGGCGGCCTTGACGGGGGTGGAGGCGCGGAGGCCGGAGAAGCTGGGGAGGGCGGAGCTGGATGAGGCGGACAAGCCCGACTGCGCCAGTGCAGCGGCAGGGGCCTTGGCGGCGAGGGAGGAAGACGCGACAGCAGCCATTTTTCAAGTAGTATTAGAGTAGAAGTCTAATGAGTAGGTGGTCGCTGGCTTGAGAAGGAATCGAACCTGTGAAGATGTGAATTGTAAACTGTGGTTGAGATCAAATCGCTTTCGACTCAGAATTTATACCGTCAGAGTGAAGGTGCTGGACTCGATGGAGTGCACTGGCAGGGTCGAGGTGAGGGGAGAAAAGCAGATGGTGGTATCGAGTCGAGTCGTGTGCATTGTGAGCGGTGACTCAGAGGAGGACGAATGACGATCGAGTTTCCCATTTCAGCGAGTCGCCAATCTTGTTCGCCTCCCATCAGCTAGAAATCCGGCTATCCAGCGTGGCGATCTTCGAGCACGTGGTGGGTCAAGTTGCGGTGTCGAGGGGAATGTGCGAACCACTGATGGAAAGAGCTGCTGCCGTGTGGCAGCTGCTGACGAGGAGAGCATCCACGTCGGAATTTTGGGTGGTGTGTGGATATTGGCGGGAAACCCTCGAGTATCTCGCCCAAGTGCCAAAGCTGGTGCAAACTAGTTGACTTGCCCGCGAACATGCATCAATGTTGGTTCGGATAAGCTCGAAGAGGAATTTTCCTGCTCTGGCTTGCCAAAGCAGCCTAGTTCCTGATGAACGAATTGGCTTGTAGAGGAATTTGTCATCCAAGCAATTCCCAATGTTTCCTTGTTCTATTTGCAGCTCCGCCCCTCATGGCCTTGTCCATCAATGGTTCAGACTAGAATCGCAGTCTCTTAGAGCGATAAGTCAACTGCTTACTGCTTTTCGTGGGCCATTTCTTCGTACGTCTCACCCGTCGTAAGTTATTACTTTGTATGGTACGTCACTTGGGCCTTTTGGCTCAGTCCCGACCCATCGAAATCTCCTCCAAACGTCATTTACTGCTATTGCGTTCTGAACTTCACGTAGTACGTTTTGTAAGGTGGCATCGTGCATTACAGTGTTGGAGGTAATCGTGGTGCCGCGCAATCAAGGTAAAGTATCTTCTGATAAGATATTTACGACCACCCTCTGTTCGTCCCGGTCATCAAGGGCGATAACGCACTATTCTCGCTTCCACAATAACGTCAGCTGTTGTCGTCTTCAACTCACGTCAGGTATGCTGGATTAGTAGGAACTCAAGTGGTGGTGACGGTCGCATCTCCAACATCGCCTGCTGGTAGCCTGTCGTAGCTTCTGACATTTGGAAAGTGAAGAACGACGCCCAAAATGCCGGGTCCAGAGTTACGGAGTAGGTACTACACAGTAGGTACGGAGTAGGTACGTGAGCTACGGAGTAGCCTTGCTGTACGAACAACTAAAGCTACAATATAGGCAAAATCCACATTTTTGTGACGTACCAAAGGTAGGCCAGAGTCAGGTTGCTCGTCTGGACGGTATGCTTGAACGGAAGGATTTGCCAGTGCATACGGCAGTGCCAAATTCTTGATTTTGCTTGGATGAACTTATCACTGCCAGTGTCAGTTCCGACACTCATGATGCCCTACCTGCTCCACCAGCACTGCGTTTTGCATGTGCAACCGTGCAATTACTTTTCCTTCTGTTTCTCGCAGCCTTTCGTTTTATCAATACGGCACGCTGACACGCCGATAAAATCTCTGTGATGATGGGCGGGATTCCAGCGTCATCACTTGGAATTTGGGTTCTGTAAGGCTGTGGCTTTCACAGAACGCACCTGTGGCGCCATCGACCTTACGAAGTCCAGTGCAGCGACCGCTGCTTTGGTAGTTCCCACAATAGGAGGCACGGCCGCCGTCGCCACACTTGTTTCACGGAAAGAGGCCAAAAGCAGGGTACATTTCTGAGAAGCCCCGCCTTGTGGAGTGGTACGGCTTGGTGGAAAGGTCAACCTTGATGTGTAATGCGGTCCAGCGCCGTGCGTCGCAATATCTGGGAACTAGGACGCAAAAAAATTGGCACGGGAAATTTGTGCTCTGCCTCTGAGAACTCAGTCCAGAATTTTGCAATGTCAGATGCACACCCTTGCACCATCCTGAAGCCACTCGTTTGTTAGCCAGAATCCGCAGTGCCCCCAGAGTTGGTGCTTGCAGCTTGCTTGTAGATGCATTGTACAGGTTTGCCTTAGGTGGTGCTAGAATGTTGGCACGTGTCACCTAGTAGGGCTCATCGACTCGTGCTGCCATCATCCAGTAATTGTTCAAATCTGCAGCATTCATATGAAGCATGCTCCTCCTGCTAACAATACTGCACATGCAAATATGCAGAAGGCGGAGTTCTTCTGATGCTCCTGACAGTCTTATCAATGGGAGGGTAACATTAATTCCATAATGCTAGATAGTACAAACGTATTCTCCGAGGGAAATGTGTGCAAGGTGCAATAAGTCGACGAGGAAGGCCCATACAAATGCAAACAGACCTCACGAAGGGTCTTAGGTTGCGAGAAAGGGAAGACAGATGCAGCCTGCTTCTTCAATGCTTTACTTGATTTGTGCCGATTGGATGGGTGAGTTCTCAAGCTTGCCTTTTTTGCATTCCTTACTTGCGTCTTTATCTTGACTTGAGTTTCCTTGTTTGGAGCTTGACTTAATCGTGATGCAGAGCCCCGCTGGTAACAGCAACTTTACTGGGTTCAGTATGGGGGGTATGCTCAAGTGCGGGCAGTGAACATGAACTTATAAATGTGCACGTGATGTCAAGCTGGGAATCCACGGTCCTTACAGAGATCAAAGCCAGACTTCTCAGGCCGTGTTAGTGGCAAAGAATCCGTCTTGTCAGGTGGTGACATGTTGCAACGTCGACTGAGACGGCTTACAGTTTCATACCTAGGGAACCGAGGACCACGAGCGTCGTCACCCAACCCAACGTGGCGTTATGCCTGTCGCGCCTCCCAACTGTCCCATGCGACTAGTCCAAGGAACCAAAAAGGATAATCATGACCCATCTTTAGCTCCGTTGCTCACTTTGGTTCTTCAGCCTTCGATTAGAACTTGTCTCCCTGCTCGTGATATGCAGGAAAGTCTGGTACTTTTCTTACAATGAAAAAAACGCCTCAAGATGCGTTGTGGCCACTAATCGGATATAACCCTCTCTTGGGACGTTACCAACAAAGCCGAAAACCAGATCTAAGCATAGACGCGAGGACGACTGAGGCTTTGTGGCAACGACAATGACGCGAGTCCTAACTCTGAACTGAAGAGTGAATGCTAAACAGATTTGCGGGCATACGCTTACCTCATTCGCCGAGCAGGTATGTGCTCCCGTAAATAGCCCATTCAGCAGAGATGCCTTACGTGGTATTCGGGTAGACAACATAAAAACGAGACATTTGTAGCCATCGACGTGTGCAGCAGAAATTGAAAGGAAGAAAGCAATCAGGCGCACTAGAATTTGCGCAGCAGATGCTAGCAAAGGCTCGGGTATCACATTGTTCGCGCCGGCGAGGCTAGCGCTGTGGAGAGCCTGAAGCTTGGACAGACTAAATAGGATCTGTAAGCACAGAAATGGGGTACGAGACTAGTAAGGTGGAAGGAGTCTCAAACTGGAAACCGAGAATTGCGAATTCCTCTTCGAGCCGATTTCTGGAGTGAACTGGGGTGCTTCGGTAGGGGAGGGTGCCGAAATTCCTCCTCGAGCTTATCCAAACCAAACTTGACGCAGCCTCGTTACCAGGTCAAGTTGGTTTGCACCAGCTTTGGCACTTGGGCCAGGTGCTCGAAGGTTTCCCGCCAATATCCAAACACCACAGAAATTGCCGACGTGGATTTTCACCTCGTCACCACGTGACACATGGCCTCATCTGAGAACACCAGCAAGTCCATTCACCCCATCGCCCTGGCAACTTGGCTCACCAATCAAGTGATCGGAGATCGCCACACTGAAAGGTCGGCTTTCTGGCCGATGGGGGTGGAACGAAGTGCGCGGCTCGGCGGGGAAGAACTCACTCAACTCAACGCGGGTCTCCTGTTTGCCCAACCTCGTCTGCACATCTCCACTCCACTTCCCAACTGCTTATTGAGACTCAGTATAAATCCGCCCTAGGAAGTTCTTGCTATCAAATAACCGCGTCTCATTCACTCCCTTCACATCCCGCTTCTGCAGACAATATTTAACCTTCAATCAATTTCTCTAGGCAGAACAAGCAACATGGCTGCTGTCACCTCTTCCTCCCTCGCCGCCAAGGCCCCTGCCGCCGCACTGGCGCAGTCCGGCTTGACCGCCTCATCCAGCTCCGCCCTCCCCAGCTTCTCCGGCCTCCGCGCCTCCGCCCCCGTCAAGGCCGCCAAGAAGGCCGGCTGCGCGCGCGGCTGCAAGTGCGCGCGCCATGCCGTCGGCGTCGTGCGCGCCGCTGCCGAGAGCAGCGAGGTGGCGTCCGCCGAGCAAGCGCTCTTCGCCAGCGTCGCCCAGTCCGTCGCCACGCCCGCCGCTCCCGCCGCCAACTCCGGCGTGATCGTCCCGTCCATCCTCGGCGCCGGCGTCCTAGGCGGCGCGGCCCTCGCGCTCCTCACCAAAAACTCTGTCCCGGCCGCTTCCGCCGCCGCCGCCACTCCCCCGGTGACCTTCGACGGCGGGTACGTTCCCCGCGCGAAGCGCGCCGCGCCGGCGGCGCTGGCGACGATGGCGGCGACGTTCCCGAACGCGATGCAGGAGGAGACGTTCATGAAGGCGGTGGCGGCGGAGCTGTTCAACCTGGGGTTCCGGCGCGAGAACTGCATCGCGCTGGTGAACACGTGCCGCGACGAGGTGTGCCGGCCCATCGTGAACCTCATCGACCGCGAGTTCGGCATGAGCTTCAACATCTCCGGGCTGGGCGGGCTCGTCAACTGCGGCAAGACCGGCTTCAAGGCCGCCATGAGCCACTCGCCCGAGTTCCCCTGCGACAAGAGCGGCAAGCCCAAGGAACGATGTAAGTCTTCGGCCTGCCGATTTTCCCAATTCTCGATTATTTTTTTCAGATTCAAAACTCGAACCAAACGATGCGAGCAGCGGAACTATGTGCGAACACAGAAGTGCCCTAGTCTCCTCGCATTAGCGTATGTTTATGTAGGTAATACTGTCGTCTGGCGCACTACTCAACTCACTCGCTCCCGTCCCTTTCCCCTTATCCCCGGATTCCCCGCTTCAGACATCTTCTTCGGCTTCCCCCACGTGTCCATCGGCGAGACCGGCGAGGTCGGTTCACTCCTGCGTCGCGGGCGCGGCAAGCCGTCCAACGCGTGCGGTGCACTCATCGCCATCCGCGGCGACATCTCGGCCGGCGGCCCCATCGTCGAGGACCCCGATAACGCGGAGTACGTGCTCCTTAAAAAGAAGGTCGCGGCTCGGATCACTTCCGACGAGCCTACCCTCGTGCAGGTCACCCGCGCCGCGCTTCAGGCGATCACGGACGACCTGGAGTATCTTATCTCGCAGACCGTGGATCCCGCAACAGCGGATTACGCCGTGATTACCGGCGTGCAGATCCACTCTGGCAACAACCTCCCGGGCGAGCCATTCCAGACGGAGCGCCTGTGTGACTATATCGCGCCGAACGCCATGTACGCCGTGATTAACGGCGAGAAGCACATTCTGCACTGCGAGATCAACCAGATCAGCGCCATCAAATCCGTCCCCGCCAGCCAATTCGCTTGAAGCTTCGGAATGAAGTCGGGAGGGATGGGATGGATGTCGGCACAGAGGTAGTCAGCTGTTTGCGGTTTTCTGTTTTCCCTGTTGGCTGTCTAATGTTTTTCCACTCTGAAAGAGTGGTTGTAGATTGTATAAATAGCCTTGCCAATAAAGAAGTGCCTCTTTTCTGCAAGCCGAGACAATCAAAGAACCTCCCTTCCTCCATCTTCTGCTGTTCTGTTCAATCTTTGTGCACACACTCTCTGATGGCATAGCATCGTTTCCACACTCCCTCAGTCTTTCGTCAGGGTTCTTTCTTCCTCCTCTCACAGCAACATCCCCTCCTCTTCTCTATGCATCACGCATGCCGTTGGCATTCAGTGTTCTCTTCATTCCGTTGGCACACATCCATGTTCATTCCGCCCTTTGTGCCCTTTTTTGTACGCGAAACCAAACTCCGCGTGCTGCTACTCTGCTGGATATGCCTGCTCAATACTCACGCAGTTGGCCTACCTAAGCTGGATTATGCTTGGTAGGCTTCAACACAAGCAGCAGGCGGATATGCAGCTATGAGTAGGTGTGAACTGTGGCAGGTAATGACACCTATGAGTAATATGACTAAGACTTGCGTAAGCAGAAAATCATGGACGTGGGGTCATCATAATATATTTGACTACATCCATCAGCAAGTTACATGAAATATCCTGCCTCTTTCATGCTTTATTACCATTACCCAAATCTCCCTCCCCCATTCCAAAATGTGCCCTTCAAACCTCTCATCCCATCCATCCACTACTCAAGCCTGCTACAGAGGAAGCAAGCAGCCACTGAAAGGCCACCAGGAACACTATCACATGCAACTCAGATGCAGAATCAGCAGCACAGTCAGCACCAATTTGCATGGAAGCTCTAGATGGTGGCAGCAGGGACGCAGGTGTTGTTGCCCCGGATGTAGCTGTTGCTGTTGCTGAAGTGGAGCTCCTCAATGCAGGGGCGGAAGTCATACGCCCACGCATACAGAATGTTGACCGTCTCCCCGGGGAACATCTGCACATTGCCAGCGGCCCCGCGGTTCATCCACATCTCGCAGTACCCCGGCAGGGTTTGCCCGAAGATGGGGCCTGTCTGGTACTGCGTGGGGTTGGGCGCGGGGTTCTCCAGGAAGCCGTCCCACAGGGTGCCAAACTCGAAGCAGTTAAACACGACCAGCGGGCTGGTGACGTTGTACGCGCACCCGTTGTAGAACGTCATGTTAAAGATGTAGCTGTGCAGGTCGAACGGCCCCAGGTACTGCGACCGCACCGTCACCGTCGACCCCCCACACGCTGAAAAACAGGGATGGGGGGAGGGGGAGAGGGAAAGGGGAAGAACAGGGAGGGGGGGGGTGGGGGGGCGGAGGGGGAGGGTGTAAGGGAAGGGCAGCTTAGTTTTTCCAGGCTTGAAAGACAAAGAAAAAAGGGGGAGAGGGGAAAGGGCAAGAAGAATGCGCAGCTTAGTTTTCCCAGGAAAAAGAGTGGTAACTCTGCCCCTGGATAGTGCATGCCGGAGGGTCAGAACTGAAACCCTAAATATTGCATGAGAGGGGTTCAGAAATGATGCTCAGAAATGAAATGGAATGAAGAGTGAGGGCAAAGAGCATGAGGGTAAGGAGAGGGGCAGGGGAGGAGCAGCACTTACTGGTGGCGAGGGCCTTGCGGCGAGGGATGTGGGAGAGGTAGTCCGGCAGTGTGTCGTGGTGAGAGAAGGTCTCAGCGGCCAGAATGCGACCGCCCTTCCTCTGCTGCCCGCCCACGCCCTTGCCTGCCGCCCTTGGGACTATGTCCCTCGCTCCACTCACCGACGCCGCCAGCAGCCCCACCGCCAGCGCTGCCAGCAGCAGCACGCGAGCAAGACACGCCATGAGAGGCGGGACGAGGGGAGGCTCGTGGTGGAGGAGGTGGGAGGAGGAATAAAACGTCCTGAAGAGAGGAGTGGGGAGAAGATGCCACTGAAGCTGATGACTCCATGGCTGCGCTCGGTGGTGGCTTTATAGGTGAGGATAAAGGCGTCCAATGGATGATGGAAGGTGCGAGGGGCGAAGTCCCGTGTCTAGGGACGGAGGAGGAGGAGGAGCGAGCACAGCTGCCTTGATCGTGAAGGAGGTGAGCAGTCGGAGACGCATGCTGGCCGCAGTCAGGGACGCAATGCAATGCAACTGTCGCTGGCGATTCCCCTGCTGGCTACACGAATCCCGTCACCAAGACTACCATTCCCCTCTCAGGTATTCAGTCTGAATGCTACTAGGCACGGCCGCTGCTCTGTCACATGTCGATTCCTCTGCTGGCTACGGTGCTAGTGACCGATGCGGAAGGATGGTGAGAGATGGTGAGAGGTGGTGAGCGGCGGTGAGGGATGCCGAGAGAAGGAAGGCTGGCTGCGATGATTCCATGGCTCGAATCATCAGCGGACATGCCAAGCGTCGGCGAAAGAGGTAGTACTGCAAAGGCACGCTGACATGCTGCCGCCGACTATTCAACGCGATTCGATCTGAGGTACTAGCGTCGGCGGCATGATACGTGGGGGACTTGAAACCCGCGGAACGGAAGTGCAAATCTTTGAACGGAGTTGCACAAGCGCCGGCGATGGTTAAACGAAACGACGAAAAGCCGTTCTCCTATTCATGGTCACCCTCCCTTGCATCCGCAGGCGCCTGATCTCCCTCTAGAGCGCTGACTCATTCTCGTTTCTCTCCCCTCTCCCTCTAGCGCGCTGACTCGCTCTCGGCATCAAGCAGGGCGAGCATACACCGGCATACATCTGGTAGGTCGAGCAGCAGCAGCGACGGTTAAACGGCTGTCTGCGAGCCTAACGACATGAACCAGTCGCATCGCGAGCGACATGAACGGTTGGCTTACTGGGATGGCTCCCCCAACCCTAGAGACGGTTAGGATGACGCTGCTCCCGTGTCGCAGCGCACAGATCCATGTCGCTACATCGGCAAGGAGGCTCATTCCCTGCCTACCCTGCCTTCATTCATCCCCTGGGGCCTTGGGAAAGAGAACCCTGCCTGCTGCCTGTGGCTGTTGGTGTTCTACTGCACACGAAAAGTGTAACTCGCTGCGCCTGCGCGATATGTCTGAGCGAAGACCTGGTTGACGAAATCGATTTCGACTTAGTTGGACAAGGCGTGAATGTCGCGACACAGCTGACAAGGCGTTTGTAACCACGTTCGGGCTTCGATTTGGTGTGGTGATCAGCACGATACAGATCAGCCTTCATGTAAGGAATTACAATTCCTTACTGCGCTAAATTACAGCTTGTGCACCCGAAGACCTCTACCTCGCAGGTTCGGCCTCGATTGTCGGCCCAAACCTCCCTGAATCGCGTTCCGACACCCTAGCCACCCTTCCAAGCCACATCATGTCCCGAGGTTCTCTCCCTAGCACGTACGAGCCCTACTTTAGCCAGTTCGCTCGTCACTTGCTCAATCAATAATTATTCCTAGGTTGTATTTCCATTACTTAGTCGATTGTTCCATTCCCACTCATAACACTTGGTATTCAAAGCCACTTTCCTCGTGCAGTAGATTCCGCCTGCCCGAGAAAATTTTTTGGAGGGGGGGGAAAGAAGGGATGGCTAGTGGGCTGTGGGGCTGCACAGCGGTTAGCTCGGATCTAATTTATTTGCTCGTCCGACTAAGGCGGGTGCGCTCCCTCGTCACCAGACCCCTGCCTTTGGACGGCCAGGATTTGGTCGCGTCCTCCCTCCCCCCAGGAACGGACAGCTGTGGCTGTTACGGCATTCATTCGCCACGTGAGTTGGTGAATTATGAATTTAATTCGTTCGTTTTGTGTGGCAACATAGCATCGTCGTCATGTGGCGGGAAATCTTCAAGCGGCTCGCCAGGAGACGTCGTCAGCGGTTGTGCGAAAAAAACGAAGGCTCGCCCAACTCTGTGAAAAGATTTTGGAGTTCGCCAGGCGCACGTGTGATGCGTCAGAACTGTACACGAGGAAAGTGCGGGGAGCGAGAGACGCGAAGAATTCGTCGGCGCTCTGTTTTATGTGCAAACCAACAACCTCGGAGGATTGGGCCTTGGTGTGTCGTCGCGCTCCGGTAACTTCGGCGAGGGGACAACGCCAGTGGGTCGGCTCGGCGCGACCTTGTTTCGAGGAAAAATCCGGAAGCGGCAAACTTCGGCAACGACCAATTTTCGTCAGCACCAGGATGGCACCGGGACGTCACCGTCACGTGTCAAACAGTTGGCAGCTGGATTGCAGTCAGGCTTTACGCGGGGTCTACAACCTGCCAACACTGTACCTGTATGCCGCCCTCACGAGGAAACCAGCTCGAGAAATGACGACCAGGGCTCTGCGATAAAAAGGGACATGGGGCGCAGCCCACGGATGCTGCAAAATAAATTCTGGACGGGTCCGTCGCGCGCGCCACCTTGGGTGACCGCAAGGGCGAAGTTTTCGGATTCTAGAAGAAAAGAGGTTGCGGCGGAGGGGAATTTCAGGATAGCGGATTTTGCCGCGCGTCAGTAGTGGTTTGGCCACCGGCTGACGGAGCTGGTGATTTATGGCCACGGCCTCCAACTTGCAACGGCCTCCACCGGGAAGTAGTGGTGATTTATGGGGTCATTTCACCTTCCAGGTCCGTAACGGGGGTTAAAGTTGGAACTTCCTTTGTGCTGGCGAAGATTTGGGGAGTTGGCCTAGAAATGGTGTTCGTTCGAGGGGATTAGCATGGCTGCACAGCGATCGCTTCGGTCATTAATGGCGTGTGCGCTGGCTTCTGCTTCGTCTGGGCCACCTTGACCAGCTGGAGAACAAAAATATGGGGGTTTTTTGGGTAATTCGTGGTGCCAGAGGGGATTTGCACGGCTACGCAGCGGTTGGCTGGGAGTTAATATTTTAGCTCCACCGACTAAAGGCGTGCGCGCTAGCTTTTGCTCCGTCCAACCCCAGATTACGGTTTTACAGATGTTTACTCACCGACAGAACCGGGAAGTTGGGTGAACGACGACCTGCCGAAATTGTCGGGGAAGCCGTGAAGAAATGTTCGAACTCGACACTGTTGCAGCTGGAGCTCGACACTGTATCCGAAGTTTTCAGAGTGCGGCTAAGCGGAGGGAGTTGTCCCAAATTTACACGGGCTACTACGACACGCGATAATGCCTAGGACTTGTTTGGTGTCATGTCGAGTGCAAAGATGGGTGAACATCTGCGCGCTGCAAAAATGCCCGGTACCAGATAGGGAATTCTTCGAAGACCAGCGGCGCAGGTGTTAAGCACCTGAAGTTTGCGGGTATCTTAGTAGCAGCGAAACGGTTTTGGGTAACCTGCAGCAGCCGCGAAATGGGTGAACGTCTGCACGGCCAGTAGGTCAGGGGTACCAGGGTATTTTAAGAGTTTGGGTTATAGCTGTGAGGAGATCGACGGCGTATGATGCTCGCCAGCCATGATTGACGTCTGAAGACCCATGCCCGGGCGGTGAACGACGAGTACCCTCGATTAAAGGGCTCAATAACGGACCGATGGGGGTGTAGCTAAACGACGACGCGTCTGTGTTTTATGGGTAGCTGCGAAGCACGTGCAGCTGTGAAGCGGAGTTGCAGTATTTGTTAAGTTACGGGAGAAGTTCGGACATTTCCGTTGGAAGAAACGGTGAAGCAGTTCAAGGTTTTGCAGCTGGCGTGGTGCCAGCTATATCCACAGGTGCGAGTGACATCATCCGATTTTTGCGGAGTAGTTTGGCTTCATGGAAAGTGAAGAAGCAGCAGCTGTTTCGGCTCTTTCCAAAAATTTCGGCATGTACGGACAAAACGGAGCTACAGTCGTGTGACCCTGGGTTCGGCTCGAGAGTGTTTACTAGATCGGTTAGGACAAGTCATTTTCCATCGCCATTGTCGTCAACCTCTCGCCAACACCCGCTACCGCCTCCATCTTCAATTCGTCTACCTTCCTTCGCTATACAGAACACGACCCCGCCATCCGCTTGGAGCAGTATCGAATCGACAGATTTGGCAGTAGTACTGTTGGAGCTGTGTTGGGGCTAGCTCGCAAGCAGTGGATTGACTCGGGAAGATTTTTTCAATTCGTCTGGGGGTTATTTATAGAGCAGTGTTGCTGATTTCAAGACTTCAACAGCGGTTTGCCCTGCAGAAGAATTCAACTCTAGAGCAGATTTGGGAGTTCTACCCGTTGGCGTTTCACCGACCTCGTCGAAGCTGAGTTTTTACCAGAGTTTAGTCGCAGTTAAGGTATTTTACGCATACCCTGAAGCAGTGAGTTACCAGGAGGTTTACCTGATTTCTGGAAGCTGTTTCTTCTTGGAGGAGGGGGGGAGAGGTGCAGCTGCGCTGCATTCGTCCTCTGCAATTTCGTCATTACCAACTGACAGCCTACACCGTCACTGTTCATTCGCCCGCAAGAGTTTTCACCATTGCCCAATATGGTCAGCCGAATAATCGACCATCCTTCAACGGTCACGATCTACTACGATCGTTTCGACAACTTCCAACCATCCGATCATTGTACAAGATTTACGGCAACGATACTTTCGACATTTCAAGACAAGCGTCACGATGACAAGCCTGCGGGAATGCCACGTTCTACAGCCTCTGCCATCCGGCAATATCCTACCAAAGTCATCGTCAGCCCTTCGATCTGGAGATATCCATCAGATAAACCTCCACAGTTTCGCCACCGACAATGCTGACTCGTGATAATCGCCCAACGGTCAAGACATCTCTCCACCAATTTCAGCCGTTAGATTAGGCTTGCCCAAGACTCGTCAGGACGGCGTAATCATTACGCTTGTCATAAGATTTCAAGACCTAGAGTCACACTCGCGATTGGATTATTAATCCATCGGATTATCGCCTCTAGTGTAGGGAGGGCTTATTTAGAAGGTGGGGAGTGTAAGGAATTACAATTCCTTACTGCGCTAACTTACAGCGCGTACATCCGAAGACCTCAACCTCGCAGGCTCGGCCTGGATTGTCGGCCCAAACCTCCCCGAGTCGCGTTCCGACACCCTCGCCACCCTTCCAAGCCACATCATGTCCCGAGGTTCTCTCCCTAGCACGTACGAGCCCTACTTTAGCCAGTTCGCTCGTCACTTGCTCAATCAATAATTATTCCTATGTTGTATTTCCTTTACTCAGTCGATTGTTCCATTCCCACTCATAACACTTTACACTGCATACAATTTGTGCGGGCAATAGAAGACACCAATCACCTCTTCTACCTAAAGGCAAAGACCTACATGTAGGATTGTTACATTATTTAATTCAGTCTACTATGCCTAACCAAAGAAAGATCAGACACATGGATACCGGACGTAAAATGCTCACAACCTGGAGCCTGTTGGGGCGTCTCAGGAAAGCACCCATCCTTCCATGAGCCAGAAATTGTGAAGAACCCTCTCCTGCTGTACCTTGCCAACTAGAAAAACCCCTAAGACTGGTACCGTTTTCAAAGCACAAAATATTTGATCAGCGAAGAGCATACAGGCCGGAGTCTTGCAAGAGCCTCCGGTTTAGAACCTCTCGCCAAATCGGACAAACCACGAGCCGGTGCCCATGTTGCAATCCCAAGCGTACTCGGCACGTACGGTGCCGAGCCTGACGCCAGCCCCCACCGAGGCTCCGAAGCCGGCTCGACGGAAGAACTCAGTAGGGTTACCAGATACTAGGCCGGAGCTCCCGAGGTCAGATGCCATCTCAACAAAGGCGTAGGTGTGGGTGGTCTTGAATGGAACACGAATCTCACCAGCAAGCTGTGACGGGATGATGGGAGGAGAGAAGAGAGGGATGAGGGAGAGTGAGACTTAGCATGGCATGGGCAGACGGTTTGATGCGATAAGAAGGGGCGGAGGGAAGGCTGGATG